AGAAAGTTTGCTAAAAATAACATATGCAGATTATGTACATAAAATGTCATGAAATATCAGCACATAAAACCGTGTGGTAGTTAGGCTGTTGCAATTACAGCTCAAATGTGCCAGATGAAGGACACGCAGCATTTGGTGTGTCTGCAGTGGGAGCCAGGCATGGGGCCAGCTCCTCTCTCCAGCCCTTGCTGGAGGCACGGGACCATGGCCGGCCTTGCCACGCAGGGCCAAGACCCTGTGAAAATACAGGTGGACAGGGCTTATTATTATTTTCTGGCTGAGGAGGGACAGGGGTAGCCCTTGGGCTGCCTCTAAAGCTCTCATACCTGCGAAGGGTCCCTTCTCCAGGGCTGGGGAGGGGCTGGGATGGGGGCTGCTCCACCAGCCAGGGGCAAACCTGGGCATGGCTGTGGTGGAGCTGCCAGAAACACCCAGACTGGAGGCTTTCCTGTTGTTGAAGTTCACCTGGGCACAGGATGGGGCTGTGGCTGGCGAGCCAGACCCCTGCTTGGAAAGCAAACCTCAGAAAAAAAGGTGGTATTTTTTTTTACCCAGGGCATCCCTCATCCTGGGTGAAGTAGACCCCTACCCCTACCAATTACTTTGCCAGAGGAAAGAACCCAGTAACTAATTTTGCTTGTGTATGGAAGAATCTCGATGCACGTTGAGGCACTAAGAAGGCCTGCCAGACCCCCCCGAGGTCCTTCGGGGTGGCATTCTAAGGCGGCTGACATTTTACACACTCCCTCCTTAGTCTTCTGGCTGCGATATAAATTTTCCTCGAGTTCTGCTTTTGTTATTTGCATGCATCTACACACTGTTTGTTTTTACACAGTGACCTACATAACTCATTTTAATACGTACTGAGGCCGCAGGGTTGGGCTGGAGGGGTGGAGGGGGGGGATGCAGCGGCTCCGGCTGCCAGGAAGCCGTCGGTTTTGGTTTCTGTATTTTGGGAGAGGACAGCGGAGGCGATGGCATCCCCTCCCGTCGCTGTTCTGCTGGAGCCCTCTGTGCTGGTAGAAATGGTGTTGAGGTGTTCCCATTGCTGGCTAAAACCATGGATGACCCCTTCTTAACTGTCAATTTTAATAAAATACTCATTTTTTATTTGATTTCTGGCCCCTCTGTTCTCTTCCCTGTTTGCTCCTCGTGAGGTAATGGCTCTTGTTAGCGGAAACACGGCGATGCTTCGGGAGCCCCCTACTACGGGAAAGGTGGGGGCGTCCCTCAGGCCACGTATTTCCACGTATATGGGAATCTGTACTTTGTTTTGCAATTTGCCCTCACATAAGAGCCATCAGGACGTGCTGCTGTTGCCCCCGTGGCGAGCCCAGCCTGACCCGAGGTCACCGCTTCTGCCTCTTCTTCACTTAATATTAAATATTAGTAATTAAATATTAATAAATACTTAAGTAAAATGGAGTTGGCTCTGATTTGGGAAAATCATGTCTGATATATCATATTGGATAAAGCCATTGGGATGCAGGGACTCCCTGCCCGGGGGGCACATGTCCCCCCGAGGGCACCGTGCCTTGCTCACAGCCTGGCTTTGGGAGCATCTCCCTCAGCACCACCCGGGGATTTGGGCCGAGACCTCCCGGGGCATCTCAGCGGTGCCCGCTGCCTATGGGGAGCCTCTGCCCTCCCCCAGGTGCCAGCACCCCCCAGCCCTTAGGAACTACAACATTCTCTTAAGTTATCCACGTTACACGTGTTCATCACTTTTCTAGCAAATAAAGCTTTTACCCAGCTAGTTGGCCAGAATTAAATTCCTTTATCTTTAAACAGATTTTTATTTCTTCCCCTCCCCCCTGCCAGGATACTTGTAACTTCAGGGAGCGCACACTGCTCCGGCGGCTCCCGGGGTGAGCAGGGCCCTTGGCATGGCGTACAGAAAAGCACCGTGATTCATCGCTTTCTCATTATTTTGTCCTTTTGCTGGATATTGCTGGGGATTTTTTTTTTCCCCTCTTCCTTTTCTTTCTTTCTTTCCAGTCCGCTTGAAAGGAGCTGATGGAAGGAGGGGAATATTCATCTCCCAAGTTTGCTCACGTGGCCAGCAGCGGCTCAGCAAACTTTCCTTGCCGCCATCCCCACGCGCAGTACGGTGTGTGCCGGCACGGCGGCGCTTGGCAACCCCGGTGCCGGGACAGCCGTGAGGAATGACGCTGTTTGTTTGCTCCACGTCCAGCTATTTGTCACTGGCCATTTTGCCTCCAGAGCTTTAATATTTAATGAGATCCGGGCTGGCCGGGCGCTGCGCAGCCATGGCTGGGCGCTGCGGCTCGGTTTCCTGCAGTGCGGGGAAGGCTGTCGGGGGGGGGAGTGAGTTGTGTACTGCGGCAGATGGGACTCTTTTTTATTTCAATTGATTTTCAGTTAATAACTTTTAACCTCCTGAACCGAGGCGGCTGCTGACGGGCCTCGTGCGGGGAGCGGCAGGGACACAGCCTGCAAAACGCTGGGGGCTCGGCCAGGGGGCACAGGCATCTCTCCTCCTGGCTTGGGATGCCAAAGGGACCCCACCTATGGGGAGCCTCTGCCCTCCCCCAGGTGCCAGCACCCCCCAGCCCTTAGGAACTACAACATTCTCTTAAGTTATCCACGTTACACGTGTTCATCACTTTTCTAGCAAATAAAGTTTTTACCCAGCTAGTTGGCCAGAATTAAATTTATCTTTAAACAGATTTTTATTTCTTCCCCTCCCCCCCGCCAGGATACTTGTAACTTCAGGGAGCGCACACTGCTCCGGCGGCTCCCGGGGTGAGCAGGGCCCTTGGCATGGCGTACAGAAAAGCACCGTGATTCATCGCTTTCTCATTATTTTGTCCTTTTGCTGGATATTGCTGGGGATTTTTTTTTTCCCCTCTTCCTTTTCTTTCTTTCTTTCCAGTCCGCTTGAAAGGAGCTGATGGAAGGAGGGGAATATTCATCTCCCAAGTTTGCTCACGTGGCCAGCAGCGGCTCAGCAAACTTTCCTTGCCGCCAGCCCCACGCGCAGTACGGTGTGTGCCGGCACGGCGGCGCTTGGCAACCCCGGTGCCGGGACAGCCGTGAGGAATGACGCTGTTTGTTTGCTCCACGTCCAGCTATTTGTCACTGGCCATTTTGCCTCCAGAGCTTTAATATTTAATGAGATCCGGGCTGGCCGGGCGCTGCGCAGCCATGGCTGGGCGCGGGCGGGGAGCGGCAGGGACACAGCCTGCAAAACGCTGGGGGCTCGGCCAGGGGGCACAGGCATCTCTCCTCCTGGCTTGGGATGCCAAAGGGACCCCAAAGGGGAGGTCTGTGGCTTTAGGAAAGCCCTGACGGGGCACACAGTGGGTATTTATTTAGGAAACATGCACCTTAGCAGGGAACCGACTGACCCCCCCTTGCCCCATCTCCAGGGGTGCCAAGCAGCCTCAGTTTCTCCATGCAAGGAAATGGGTGGATTTTCCTTATTAAAAAAAGGACAGGAGGGACCGTACAAAGATCACCTACATAAATCTTCCTAAAGCTCCCCTCTTCCCTCAGCGCCCCATGCCAGAGCCCTCCCACAACCCACATGGATGAAGGAAAAGCCATGCATTCCCTGCATTTCCCCAGCATTTTCTCAGCTGGGATGCTTCCCTGGTTGAGAGCACATGTCACTGGGCTGTGGTCCCCCACCTTTACAGCCCCAGAGCTGGGGTTTGGGGAAGCTTTTCTTATTTCTAAATAATATTTTTGCACCATCTGGGAGGTGTTTAGGGTGGTCTTTTGTTTTGTTTCCAAAGGAAGGTTGGAAGAGGAGCAGTTGCTTGGCCGCTACTTGCCACGCTGGTGGGCGCAGTTGAATGGCAACATCCAACGTGATGGCTGATGTTCCTGGAGAGGAAGAGCATCTTCCCAGTGAGACTTCAGAAGGGTCACCATGGACATGGGGCAGGAAAGCTAGCAAGGTCTCCCATTCCCTGTGGCACAGGGAGGAGAGGAAAGGGCTGAAATTATCTCAGTTATTGTCTGATGCAAAGGAGAAGAAAATAGTGTAGGGCAGTTCTTTAAAAGGCAAAGAGTGAGCAATGGAGGGCTCTCCTCCCAGAGGATGCATGCCCTGTGCCACCCACAGAGGACGCTGCATTGGGGTGCTTTGGCAGCAGAGCCTGTGCCACAGGGCGAGTGCTGCTGGCTGCAGTGGCACCTGCACCCGATGCTGCTGGAAATGCTGGCTGCCCTTGCTGTGGGGCAGGCAGAGGGGTGACAGCGGTGCGAAATCTTGCAGCCTGATGATGTTTGCAAAGCTGCAGCAGCGCGGGCAGCCCTGTGCGGACGGGAGCCTCCCAGCTTCCTGCTAAAGGAGGGGAAATTTCTCATCATTTCAGCTGTAGAAGCAAGGCTTGAAAATGCATGCTTTAGAGCCAGGAGATGAAGGAAAATCAGATAAAATATACTTCTGAAAAGGATTTTGAGGTGAGACTTACGACTTTTTAATGGGCCAGACTGATTTAACTCCCTTTGTGTCACTGCCGGCTGGGGCAGCTCCGGCTTCTTG